AAAAAAACATTTCTAGAGATGCTGGGATTCTGAAATTTCAATAACTCCCTTAACCTCCTCAGAGAGAAGCCACATCTCCTGTCAACAACTACCTTTTCTGGTTGTTGGATTTGCATATTGAGGAGCTCATTGCAGATCTCAGCAGACACAATTGATACAACATATTTACGTATATTCAGAGCTAAACATGCATATGTTTATTTATTTCCTCCACTAAATTGGAATTCTTCCTTAAAGCTAACTGCAAGGATAAAAAAAATACCCTTGTACCTCCCCTACACAAGGGTAAATGCCCATTACAACTAGGTGCAGGGGAATAATACTTACCTTACTCCTTGCTCCAAGGAGGTTTCCAGAGCTCACCTCTTCTCTTCTATGCTCCCGAATACTTATCCCAATACCGGAACTTCCGGTATCAGGAAGCCGGGCGGGTCAGTCATTACCCGCTCCCCAGCTTCCTGTTTGGCAAGAAAGACGGCTCCATGCTTCCTCATCACCTGGCGATGAGGGAGCATGGAGCTGGCTTCCCGGCCAATCAGGAAGCTGGCGGCAAGTCATTATATGCTGCCCTGCTTACTCAGCTTGACTTCTGATATTGCTTTTCGATACAGGTGAATACCGAAAAAAAATACTGGCACTTGGAAAACCTGTATTGGTGCATCCCTACATTTTAACTTATATGAGATTTTACACAATTGAGTTTACGTATATAAATGTCTACTTTCATGGATATAAATATATATATATATATATAATTATTTATTTATCATTTTAAAAACGTAATTATCTAAAGCCGTTGTCATATCCCTTTAATTTAAGACAAACAGTATTAAATAAAAATACCATGCATACCTGTCACGTTAAAACTACATGTATGGAATGCTGTCTGACGTTACCGAAGATGATGATCCTGTCTCTGGTAACTTTTTCATATGTCAGCATAAAACATCCAAAGTTGAAATCTTCTTGGCAGATTAAAATATGTAAAGTGGCATACAGCATACTCACTAAGCTTCTATGTAGATTAATTGTGAAACTTCTGTCTTCCAGAATGCACTGCAGACTGCTGATTGGTCCTCTGTGATCACATGCATCTCAGCATACCCTCAAGCTAGTAGTGTATTTCAGTATTTTCCTTTAGGGTGACACTTACCCAATTTGTTCACGTCCGTGACATTTTTGAAATACTGTGAAATATTAGCAATTAAAATGAGCTAAAACCTTATTGATATTTATGAACATATTCCAGGTTAGAAATGGGGAGGAGCCAAATTCCCTCTATTCTCCGTACGGTAATTATAGTTATTGCACACTTACAGTTATCAAGAAATAAAAGCTAAAATTAAATATAAAAGCTAAATATCACCACCACTGCAGATATCAGAATAGCCCTCTCCTCATTTTCAGGGGCCTGGCCCTGATTACACAAGGTTCCAAACCATCAAGTTAAATGGCAGTCCTACATGCTCAGACTATTATGGCCTGCATAGCGGACTTTCATGCCTATTTGTTCTTTCCTAAATATCCATAGTGATCTGATGATTATCACTGTACATAGGTCTCATACCTGGTCTATTAGGATAAGGAAGGTGCAACGTCAGGCAAGTGCACTGGTTAGAAGACGTGTAGGTAGGGCTTAGTAGGAGGTATGAGTTATGCAAAGATAAAATTCAACACCACAGGCATGACATGACCAGGCCAAGCCCACTAAGATGCATCCACTGACAATAATGCGCTAACATTCTCACAGGTTTCACGAATTTGGCATTCTATGGGGCAAACACATCAGAAAAAATGTGGTTGACTGAGCTAGAAAATGTTTGGCCAAAACTTCATATTTCTACACTGCCAAGAGAAAGGTACAATGTTGAAGGTCAAAGGACACGGATAACCAACGCAAAGTTGTCTATCAATAGTATAAGAGATCTTTGTTCATTGGAATCTTTTACTAACATCCACCTGTTGTCCCATGTCCATAGTGCCTTAGAAAGGTGACTAAGCAGAACGTTATGCTATTTAATGTAAATGGCATTTAAAAAGATTCACAGTTAAACTAAAAAATAACTTATAACCACTAAACATACTTAAAATGATGGTGGTTTTGAGGACAGTATCATATCCCAACAAATAGTTGACTTTCTATTCAGTAATACCATGAAGGATGAAGCCAAATGTCATTCAAGCCTCCTTCTGCCTAAACTGGCATTGTGCATAAAACATAAAGCTGTACAGAAAAGTTGTAAAAATAATAAATATCTGTACTTTTAATGAATGCAATTATTTGGTCTTTCAAGTAATTTTTTAGGTTTTCTATTCGCATTAGCTTATTGTTCTATAATTTTTATCACGGATATTGTTAAGGAAGGGAGGATCCAATTGCCTTTGGGGACCTGGGAAGATTTTTTTTCATGTGGATCCACTGTGGGTTCTGATGATGCAGGTTTTTTTATGTATTTTTGTCTTTTGGTTGATCTTGAAGGACATGTGTTTTTTTTTTTTTTTAGCCTGACAATGTAACTGTGTCTCCAAATTAATGTAAATGTTTAAAGAACAGTAGCTTTAGCTTTTGATTTTGCTAAAGTAGGCCAAACATCGACACACACTTTCACCTGACATTATTGACTACATGCCTTCTAGTGACGATCATCACCATTTTAATACTATGCTTTTATACCATTGATCCTATGCTAACTGCAGGGGAAGTCAGTCCTGACCTCTCTCTTCATATTCCCTGACTATTCAGGGAATAGCTGTTCCTGGCAGGTTCCAAGGCAGGCCAACTGGGAGTCCTAATCTTGACAGCATTACCTGATCCAGCCCCTAGGTTTCCTCTGACTGGGAAGTGCCTACTACAACTCCTAGTGGAGCACTCTTGGGGCCCAATCTCACATTGAAGAAGAACTGGCTCTACTTGGAGATGCTTGAGGATCTCTACACATCCCATACTGTTGGCTAGAGGAAGCCTGGCAATTCTCCACAGAAACCTTTTAGCTGCTTGCGCCTGCAACCTTGTTCAATCTTATAATAGCAGTATAATCCTTTATAAAATAATTCAGCCAGGCTCAAAACTTACATCCAAATAAAGTTTTATGGAAAACGTAAATCAAATCCTTATTTGTCAAATTTGATGAATACACTTTTTTTGGATGAATATTATTATTCAGAGAATAGTTGTTCCTGGCAGGTTCCGGGGCCAGGCCAACTGGGAGTCCTAATCTTGACAGCATTACCTGATCCAGCCCCCAGGTTTCCTCTGACTGGAAAGTGCCTACTAAAACTCCTAGTGGAGCATTTTTGGGGGCCCAATCTCAGGTTGAAGAAGAACTGGCTGTACTTGGAGATGCTTGAGGATCTCTACACATCTCATACTGTTGTGTAGAGGAATCCCAGGAATTCTGCATAGAAACCTTTCATCTACTCACACCTGCAACCTTCAATCTTCAATTCAATCTTTTATTAGCAGTATAATCATGCGTAAAAAAATTCAGCAAGGGTCAAAGCTTACATCCAAATAAAGCTTTATGGAAAACTTATATGAAATCCTTATTATTCAAATTTTATGAATACGCTTTTTTGGATGAATAAAATGTAACCTTATACTCCAACAAGTCTTTGAATGTTCAGTTTTATCCTTTTGTGCAAGGAGCTCCGAAACTGCCTAAGAAATACCAAGACTGTTGGAAGAATCTATCATACCTGTAACAGCTACAGCAGCCTGCACAGAACATTGCTATGGGGCACGTACAAGGAAAATCATACGTCAGCCAGCCGTATGGACAAGGCCTGCAAGTTCTATACATGGCTCAGAGAGTGTACATGCATCTGATTACTAATGAATAATGTACCTTCAAGTGATATGTGACTGCTACGCAGGGCAATGTAGAGATGCAGTAAACCAGAATACCCAGGAATCCTAATCTCAGCATGACAGGTTATAGAGGCATTACTTCCAATCATACAGAAACTCAGACCACATTTTCCTCTATGTTACTTAACTCACTTCTGTCATACCTTTCCTGCTTAATTTTATAGCTGTCTCTGGGCCTCAACCGCACGGCATTTATTAGCTGTGCAATAATGCAACAATGTAATAAAACTGCCCAAAGTCATTATGAAAACTGCTCTTTATATACCTCTCATAGACCCATGAGGATTTCAAATCCTTTTTTAATGACAATTACCGTTCTCAGTCCGTGCTCATGTTAAAAACGTTTATAAACCATTCCTTTAAAAAAAGTCATCCTTTACATTAATTACTCTGAATTTTGGGATTTTTAAAAATAAGGCACTTATTACAAACCACCGACCTACACCCCCCATCCCCAGGGTCGTCTTTGCTTCTGAAAAAGCAAAAAAAAAATACAACCTATCACCACAAAACAAATAGGAGAGATTATATCTGGCTCCGGTTGGGCGATGACTTAACTCTGACAAAACGTGATTAA